ATATATGATTAGTTTACACCAAGCGATTATAAAAGATCTGGTAGGACTTATATTGCAAATTTCGTCATTAATTGTTGAAGCACTCGTACTAATAGAACTCACTAATTACATTATAAAATATTCGGAGTAGTAATACCAAGGATAAAGCGGAGAGCATAAAGGAATATACATAGAATACACCACCATTCCAAAACAATCACTGGTGGTTTTAAATCGACTTAACACCGGTTACAATAAGATGTCCAAACGTCGTCAATTAACATAAGATGGCTTGGTCCTTACCATATCAATTCCATGTGCTACGAAAAGTACCCACATCTTTTCCCCAAACTCTCGTAGTCCCAGTCAAAACGCTAATTTCGGGACGAAATTCCTTCTAACGGGGGGATGATGTGACAACCGTCAATTTCCGGTCAAGTCAAAGTCAAATAAAGTTAACAAGTCAAATCGGTCAACTCAACTAACCCTTGTATATTAGGGATTACATTATGTTACTATTGTACAACTTACTATTTTTAATAAAGAGTTATCACTTGGAAAATTCATATGTTCAGAATTCTTAAACCCTAATCAAGGTAAGTGATGGAACTACTCGATAAAACACTGATACATACCCTTCGGGGGTGTATAACACTCATAAAAATTCATAACGGGGTTTACGAACCTTGAGTTGCGAAGCTAAACACTCAAAAAGGTCACAAACAAAGTCTCTTTCAATCTCTCTTTATCGATCTTAATCTCTCCCAAATCTCTCCCACATCTCTCTCAAAATCTCTTCTAACTTTTTATAATCATTTGGGGCATCCCGACACTTAACTTGGTGAAAAACCGCTCAAAATGGGAAGTTGATATGAAAATCAGCCTTATAGGACCGAACCTTCTTAGGGCCGAAACCCTAAGAAGCGAAACCCATAAGAACCGAAACCCTAAGAAGCGAAACCCATAAGAACTGAAACCCTCTTGCAAGAACCGAAGACTGCCGAAACCGAACCATGCGAACCGAATCCGAACTTCGCCTTCGCTTCTCTTCCTGCCTTCGCCTTCGGCCCATTTCGGTCTGTTTCGCCTTCGGGCCCAGCAGCAGGGACCGAACCTTCGGCCCAATCCGAGAAGCTTCGCTGAAATGCATCTTTCACCTGGTTTTCGACCACGACTTCGTTTTAAGCCCGTTTTTCATTATTTTAACATGGGATTTGCACCCAAACTCATATTTTAACATATAAGACCCTATATATTCATAATTTAAACACATTTTAGGGAAAATCATTGCCTAAGGATAAAATCTAGTAGGTAAGATTTATGAGTGGAGTGTTGACTTTATCTTTAGGTTATGACACAAGCAATCCCACACACACACTCCATGTCCATCCCCAGTCACTATTCATCACTATTCAATCAATCATTAGTCCTTCCACCCTCTTTCTCCAACATATGAGGGTGATCAAGGCTGAAAATCTTTACTCCACCTCCCACATTCTACACACTTTCACCAAGGATCAAACCCATTTCTCTCTCTCACTTCCTCTCTCTAAAACTCGAATTTGAAGGCTATTCTTGAGCTTTTTCCCTCTAAGTTTCGTAAGTAACATCATCATACACTTGATTATCTTACTTCCTTTCACTCAAATCATGGGTTTCTTACACAAACATCATCATGTTGCTAGATTTTCAAATCTTCAAGCATCTCCCAAGTGTTCTTGACTTGGAAACTTCTTCTATTCATCATCCACCTTCTGAAATCACTCAAGGTGAGTTCATAAACTCAAACATCATCTTTCAACAGAAAAGTTGAGTTCTATTCACGGACTGTTTTGACCATCTTAAACTTAATATTTTCAAAACTGTTTAATCTGAAAATAGTTTAGGTTTATACCTTTAAAATGACTACTTGCACATCTCCATACGATTTTTCTACAATTTATGGCGATTTTTACAAAACAGCCTATCATTTCATAAACCACTTCGGACCAGTCTGTGAAGTTGGATATTTTTACACAAGTTAAAGGTCACTAAAAATCATGATAAAAATTATGAATAAAATAGACACATTTTCTAGACCCTCAGAGTTTACGGATCTAAATTTCGACCTCTGATGATTTTTCTATAAATTTTTCCAATAGCAGGAACAGAAAAGTTAAAAACTATAAATAGTTAACAATCCTATTTACACCTTGTAACTTGCTGAGCAAGGTGTGTAGTATTATTTGAATACATGTTGCTGATAGTATATATTATTTACCTTAGTTTAAAGGTATGAATCATATACAAAGAAGTACTACCACTACAAATAATTAAAATAAATTATAATAAGTAAAGTTAAGTCTATTATACACCACAAACAAACGTGCTAAACTATAATAGGTATAGTTAGGTTGCATGTACGGTTTATATAACTTAAATTTTATATAACTTGTATACGCTGGGTGATTATAGAAGGAATCTACGGGTCTATCTAGGGTACATTATCGCATAACATAGGGGCGTTCATTTCACTCTTATCAAAGAAAATATTGGATTTTCTGGAATCACACTCTATCGCTTTTACAAGGAAAATGACTTCTTTCTCAAATAAAACTCTTATGAACTCACCAACTTAATTGTTGACACTTTTTCAAAACTACTTGTATTCTCAGGAAATCAGTGAAACAGGAATTCAACAGCATTTTGAGGATGAGACGTTAAATCGTCAAACAGTTCATTTTGTCATCATAATGTAATTGATTTTGAAACATGTAAACATATACTATGGTGTAACCTTTTCAATAATATTTATGATGGTTGTATTTACTTTGAGCACTATTACACTCGTTGTTGTGATACCATACATGAGGTCCTCCACCCCAGGACGTTTCTGCCATCCATGGTTTGGGGGTGTGACAGGTATTGTAACAGATGTGTTGTTTAGATCTTCTTTCATTGTTTTGAATAATGCCTTGTCGTGAGTAACATGTTCACTAGCACCAAAATATATAATCCATTCATCATGAGTTTTAGTTTTACCTGTCATGTTTACAGTGAGAGTTGTATTGTTTGTTTTAGTGTCACAGATCATCTTTACCAGCTTCTCATATTCACCTTTTGTAAGTCTAAGGCCTTGAATTTGTGGATCTTTAGCAATAGTGGTTGCTGCACGTGGCTGCACTTTTACTTTTCCAGCGGAAGTCTTTGTGATTGGTGTTCTTGATGTCCACCATTCTGGGTATCCAATCAACTATAAGCATCATTCCATGTTGTGTCCCCGATTTTTGACAATAAGTACACCAACGATCATCATTCCTTTTCTTGTTGGCTGTTTGATTTGTCTTTCCTTTATTCTGATTCTTGGAGTAATTCTTTGATGTTTGAAACACAACAAAGTCATTGTTAATTACATGTGAGTTTCCAATTTGCTTTTTCTCTTCATCTTGACTGATCAAGCGGAATGCAACTCCTAAGGTGGGTTGAGGATCGTGCTTAGTATTTGAGTTCTTAGCACACTATATTCCTCACTTAACCCCATCAAGAAATCGTACAACCTTTCCTTTTCACGCATCACATCAATCTCTTTTGTGATATTGCAGGAACATCCTTAACACGAACAAGTTGGTGTTGGATTGATAGATCGTATCTCGTCCCATATTCCTCTGAGTTTTGTGTAATAAGCGGACACCTTCATGTTTCCTTGTTGAATCAGAGTGGTGGATCTTCTGAGTTCATATGCTCATGGAGCATTCTCCTTCCCAAATATTTTTTTTTCAAATCTTCCTATATCTCTTGAGCAGTAACAACGAATTTCACACTATTCTTGAAATCTTTTTTCCATAGAACTAACAAGCCACCCTCGAACCATAGCATTACACCTCTTCCAATTCATGAAATCTTTGGATCCATCTTTTGGTTTGAGAAGTGAACCATCAACGAACACGAACTTGTTTTTGGCGTGAAGAGCATTTGTCATCTCATTCACCCAATCGTTGTAGTTCCCATCGCTTAATAGGTTATCACCAACGATGTTTAAGCATGGATGACCAGTCGATGAAAGAAAGTATGGAGATGATATGTCGATGGGCTTGTCAGTCGATGATGACGACACATGGGTTTCTCCTCCCGTCATATCACGCGAATCTCCAGATTAAGATTATCAGAGCTCTCTGCTCTAATACCATAATAAAATTGATACTGGATATTTCTTGTTATTATTCAATAAACGAGAGATTACAAAGACCTATATATATTTATATAATTGGAAAACTAGATAAACTAGGAAACTTGAATAAAGATAACTTAGGAAAAAAAGATAAGCAAAAGATAACAATAGGCTACAAAACGTAATCCTAAATAAACTCCAACACGATAGTCACTGAAATGACGACTATTTTCAGAAGATGAATATAACACAGACGTACCACAACTGTCAGGTGGTAAAGATGATTGTTGAGTATTTTTATGTTTTTCCTACAAATGTTGTCTGCTGGGAAATATTTGAGTATAGAGAGTTCAATCAAAACCTAGTCATGTCATTTCGCAAGCGAATCATAGAAATTGTATGAGGTAACAAGAAAAAATAAAGACCTATTTGAACATTGTAGCATTATTTAAAACATATTTTAATTTTATGTAATTATTACTTTTTGTCATAGATATCAGGGTTTCAAGCATTGTTATACTTTGCAAATATACTATTTATTTTTCAAAAACCATTAACACAAAACAATGACCAACTATTAATTTATTTTTTTTAAAACAAAAAAAATTTCTCCAAAATACTCATCCACGATCCCGGAGACCCGGTCCGTCACTCCAAAATACATTGTTAACTAGTAATTTTTTCAAAACATATAAAATTAATTATATCGGTTAGATTTAGGTTAATCAATTCCGAATAGTATCCGATATTAGAAACGGTTTTATGATCTGATCTCAAATTTCATATTGGATGATTACACAATCCCCCAAATCTCCCTTTCGCTCTCCGGTAACAAAACCCTAGAATTCCATACGCGGCAGTATCGAAAATCAAAATGTCAGACGAAATTCCTTTCCATGTCCAAGAGCAGATCATCAAAAGGCTTCCTGTCGTATCATTGCTTCAGTTCAGATCCGTCTCGAAAGCATGGAAATCTTTGATCGACAGCTCTAAGTTTATCGCTGCTCACAGCGTTACTCAGTCGCAGCATCTGCTTCTAAGGTACGAAGATCAGGAATTTGACACTGTTGGAAACTATGTTTCTTTATTAGATGATGACACATTCCCTGAACAGAGGTTTGTTCATACCCTTCCTCACTCCATTACACAACTTAAACAGTCAAATATAGTCGGTAGCTCTCTCGGGTTGTTGTGCTTTCACGGTTATAATGAACTGGGAGAGGATTTTTGTCCCAAAATGGAAACTGAGACGATTGTTCTTTGGAATCCTTCGATTAGAAAGTCAATTACTGTTCCTATGCCTAACAAGTTTAATCTGGACCCTGAAACTGATCTTGGTTTTGGGGTTTCCCCTGTTACTAGTGACCCTACAATCGTTGAGATCTCACAATTTCACAAAACTAGCTACCATTGTGAAGCTAAAGTTTACACTGTGAGCTCAGGCAAATGGAGAAATCTATCTAGCAATGTTCCAAGGAAACCATTTCGTGTCTTCTGGCCTCAGGTGGTTGTTGATAGGTTTATATATTGGTGTGCTTTTGACCCGTTGACTATGGATAACGGGTTACCAAATCATAATGTGATAATGTCATTTGATATAATCAATGAGAGTTTTGGAGTTGTAGAACTCCCAGATAGTTTAAGGCGCATCTCTCCTACTCAGTTGTGTATTTCTAAGGTAAGGGATTCTATTGTCATGCTTGAATATGATAGCTTTGTGAAACGTGCTTGTGGTGTATGGATGATGGAGAATGGTGTTGAAAAATCATTTACAAAGAGATTTACTGTTGAGGCTCCACCATATTGGTCAAAGTCAATAACGACACTTGGATTTAGGAAGAGTGGTCAACCTATAATGGAAGTGGAAATTGCTCATGATTTTTATGAACAGAGTCAACTTGTGGTGTATGAGCCCAACTTTGAACGCTTCAATTATATTGAAATCTATGGAAAACCTGAAACATTCTCTGTGCATTCCTTCATGGAAACACTAGTTTTGATTGGTAGCATCGAGGTTGAAGATGATGGCCACATTGCAACGTGTAGCCTAGAATGAATGACTTTTGGAGTGGACAATTGAGGAAGATATCTTTAGATTAGATGAAGTTGAGAAAAAGTTAAGTGCATTATATATTAGAAGTTAATACATTTTTGGTAATCGGTTAGTATGTTTAGTAACCTCAACAGTTTGGCTTAATGGGTAAACTTGAAGTTTCTTGTTTCTACTGTTAACTGTGATGCTTGCATATTAATTATGGTGGAGTAATTTAGCATGTAGTTGTCAATGTGATCATATAAAAGCTAAATCAGTGATGTTCACACCTATGTTGATTACATTATCATTGCTACAAAACAAATTCAAGACATGAAATAAGTTTGTTTATGTCGATTACATTAACTCTCTATGGTCTGATTTGTCATTGATTTTTAAAGGTTTTAAATTTTCCTCTTGTTTTTTGGAGATACATAATTGTCGAGAACTATGGATAGACCAATGTTTTAAAAACCGGTTTGAACCGGCCGGTTGGACCGGGAGAGGGAGCGGTTCAACTATTACCGATTTTACGTCGATTTCTGAACCGGATTGAACCGGCCGGTTATTAGAAAAACCCGGTTGAACTGGTCAAAATAAACCGGTTGAACCAATTAAACCGAATAAAAACACTTGAAAAAGAACTATTTACATAATAAAATTTGTTGATTTTTTTTTCATATCTATTTAGTTTTCTTTAAATAAAAAACATATGGTAAATGTTATAAAGTTTTTGATGTGTTTGTATTCTTCTATAACTATATTTTGTTTCGATATTATACTTTATTTTCTCTTTGATGTATATTGATTGATGTAAAACATTAAAATTTATACTTATGTGTTATTTTAATGTATTTGGATTCATCTACAATTTATTTTTATGTGTATTTTTAATTTTTGAACTTGTAAACATCAAATTCATGATTTATAAATGTATGTATGTATAGGAATATAGGAAAAAACATGAAAAATATAGAAACTGGTTCACCCGGCGGTCGAACCGGTTGAACGGGGAACCGGTCGCCATACCGGTTCAACTAAAAAACCGGTTTTTAAAACATTGGGATAGACCCTATTGTTCTTGCATTCTTTAATTACACATTGACCAATCAACTTTTAATGTTCAAGCAAAAATATCAACCTCTTCTTCTTCCCATGACTCTTCTTTACCTTCTTCCTTGAATTTGAATCTGTTCGTGAGTTTCTTCAATGATTTCATATCTTCGATACACAAATCTGATTCGTTATTCCATTGGATTGAAGATTCAGTTGTTTGTTCTCACGGTTTTGGAGAATGGGTTTGAATTGATTAATGTAGTGGAATCAAACTTTCCGACTCTCTTTTCTAGAGAATTTCAACATCCTTTATATACTTAAAAATATATGGAAAATGTTTTGAAAAAATAAATAAATAACAATTATAAAACAAGATAATACATATATAATTTGATAAATTTGATTTATTTTCAGTTTCAGTGTTGAACAAGTACGTTTGATTTGTATTAAAACCACCTTTTAAGATGTCTTTAGAAAATCAGATTTGAAAACTAAAATAGATATGCCCTAATTAAATCCTCTCTAATGGAAAAGTAAAGGATTATACGGAAGAAAGGCAATATTTTAATTTTCAAGCCCATCCAGATCGGGTATTTCAATGAAGAGTCGATGATAACTTCTCTACGGAAACTTGACAAACACTAGAACTGAATGTCAATGAACATGTAACACCCGATACTTTATTTAAACTTCTTTACTTACTTAAAAATGTAATTTTTGGAGATTTTGGTCATTACGCATGGTGTAATGCAGTCTCCTACGCAACGCATATGTAACATCCCAAAAATCATGACAAAATTTTTGTTTTTAAAACCATATCAAAATCCATAAATCATACAAAACATAGTTTCCAAAAGCCATAATATAAATCAAAGTATCCAAAATCACAAGTCAAATAAATATCTAGGATGATGTGCACAATCATGGCTTCGCCTTGCCCCTATCCTCAGAGGTAGCTGAAACCATAAAATCAAACTGTCAGTCAAAGCTTAGTGAGTTCCCCCAAAGTACTTCACACAACAAACATATACACACATTACATATTGGGTCCACAGTCTCCTGACTGGATTACCCTGGCCCACAGTCTCCCGATTGGATTGCCCCTCTGGCCCACAGTCTCCCGACTGGATTTCCACTGGCCCATAGTCTATTACCCCGAGTTTGTTGGCCTACAGCACAAAACAGTACCACCTCAACCCACCCACACTATGTCGACATATGCAACAGATAAACATATAACCAACAAGTACATGTAATAATATAGATCTACCAATCTAACATATAATCAAAATAACATCATCCTATATACCAAGGTACGTAACCTAGTGGGCTGACATTGGTGTCTTCAACCCACGAGTACAGTAAGGAAAAACTCACTTCAAAATCCAAAAGATAGTTGCATTGATCACTGCTCCAAATACGGACTCTACATGTCACATATACAACAATTAGGGACCAAGCCTCAACCTACTACTCAAATTACTACATTTGACCTAAAGTCAAACTTGGTCGACGATCAATGGTCAAAATCTCTACTCTAAGTCACACAACCAGTTGTCATATCATGACCTAATAAGACAAAATAGTCGGGGTCATTCCATTCTCATGTCGTGAGAAACGCTATGAATAGCTTGATATAGTAAGCTCTTAATCCTTTTAGACAAGCAACCAAAACTTCCAAAATGTCTTATCTACTTCAAAACATTATAAATCGTGGCTTTTTATGCATGTGTGGCCAATACATGCATCAACCACAAGCTAGGTCTAAAATGGTGCAAAATAGGGCCAAGATATCATGCAAAAGCTCAAAGTTCTATACAACTCCAGATCCATGGCCTTAATCCATAAAAGGACCCTAGGAATCCATAAATTTGGAAAATTTATGGAACCCCAACACTCTCACAAGCCATAACATAAAGAAAAACCATGGAAAACCTTGATCTAAGCACTTCGAATCATAAAGCAATAAAATTTGAATACTCATAAGGGTCCAAAAGATGAGAAAGGATGATGGAGAGGCTAACAAGATGATATGGTGTATCAAATGATCTTCTTCTTCTTTGCTAGAAATCAACACAAAGGAGCTCAAAATCAAATATGAAGGATTAGGTTTACAAGGGGGGATGTTAGGAGGTGATGGATTTTGAGGGTGTGCTAACCTTAGCCCTCACTTCCTTTAAATACGGGATAAATCCCCCAAAATTAGGGTTTGCCTTGCAGCCACGTATCTTGTCGAGACCCACGCATGGTCACGTCATGAGTTCCAAAATCATGCGCATAAATGAGAAGCCACCTCACCCTGTGACATGCCAGTGCTCACGACGTGAGCTAAGTTTGAACCAAAAGATTTACTTTAATAACTTAACAAAATGATTGCCTAAACTGGGTGTTACAACATAGGAGGGACATTAGATGTGGGGATTTAATGAGCTACGTCATGCGTAGCTTAAGCTACGCAACGCGTAGCAACCCAGAATCAAAACCCTAATTCGGGGTTATGAGCCCTATTTAAGGACTCTAACACACTTGAGGACCCTTCCATCATCGTCCTCTATTCCTTAAACGTGTCCCTTTCAAACGCTAATTCCCTTGAGTAATTTTTAAGGCCATTGTGTGATAGTTTGGTGCTTTTGGTAGAAGGAAGTCCCTATTGTTAAAAATTTGGTGTACTCAAACTTGTGGAAATAGGATTTTGTGACTCTCATCCATCTCCAGAAGGTATAAAGTTTGTACCTTTATACTTACATTGTTAGATTTAGCTTAGATGTTGAAGTTATGCCATTTTATCCCATTATATTGGTCTATTTGAGTATGAGCTACTCTAGACCTTGTAGAGTGTGTTTCTAGAGGTATTTGGGGTGATTAAGTCATAAGATTGGTATCTTGACCATATTCAACCATCCATGCACGAGTTTGAGATCATTAGAAGTTGTTATGAGATTAGGGTTTGTTCTTGAGCGTTGACAAGACATGCAAAGATATAAAGTTTGAAGCATTATCAATTAGGACGTTTGTTAAGACCAAATCTGAGAGTTGGACGTGATATCTTTCTGTGTTAAGCACTTAATGGGAAGTTTGGCATCAACATAGTTACATATAGTGTAACTTTGGCTAAGTAGCGCGTAGCCCCATAATTTATCTTTTTTCCACCTTAAGCCTTATGTTGGGCATAGAAAGGTTACACATGGCGTAACCTGGCTGAGTGTTGACTTTTGACTTTTTGACTATGGATCGTTTGACTTTGACCAAGTTTATATATATGTCATTTTGGGTATTTGATTAGTACATTGAGACTCGGTCCCCGTTTGTTGTATAGGTGGTCTGTAGAGCCAATGTTGGATTAGTGATCAGTTCAGTTAATTTTTAGACCTTGAGGTGAGTTTTCCTCACTATACTCGTGGGTCAAAGACACCAATACCGACCCACTAGGTTGTGTTATGTATCCTAGTATATATGATAATGTTATGCTATAGTGATCAGTTAGATTGGTAGATCTGTATGATTATATGTATTTGTTGATTAATGTTAGATTGGTAAATTTGTATGATTACATTTACTTGCTGGTTATATGTTTATATGTCGCATATGTCAACATAGTGTGGGTGGGTTGAGGCGTTACTGATTTGTGCTATAGGTCAATAAACCCAGGGCAATCCAACCGGGAGACTGTGGGTCAGGGGCAATCCAGTCGGGAGACTTTGGGCCAGGGGTAATCCAGTCCGGAGAATGTGGACCCAACATGCAATGTTTCTATATGTTTTGTTGTGTGGGATACTTTAGGAGAAACTCACTAAGCATTGAATTACAGTTTGATTCATCGTTTCAGGTAGATCTGAGGACGGGGAAAACCAAAGGGGTGATTATACACATCATCCTTGGATATTTATTTGAACTATGATGTTGGGATACTCTGATTGGTGAATTTAACTTTTTGAAACAGTGTTTTGTATGATTTACGGGCTATTATA